TTAAATTAGGTTTACAATGTTTGCATGTCAGGGGTTTACACCAGTATAAAGACATTACATTACAAAGTGATTTGAGGTACAGCTGTACTACACAAATGTTATGGTGGTGTGTAGAGGACGTACAGTATATGCCCCTGCTAACATGGGCATAAATAGCAGTGTAGATGGTGAGGCATGGCTTAAGCAAGTAGAGTCACGATATGCCTGAACCCTCTGGGTATAAACCCTACGGACATGGCTCTATACGGCCCCAAGCAGGGCCTCCCCCATCTACAGTGTTAAAAATAGCAGTGTAGTGTCCCGCTGCCTTCCCACCGCAGGTAAAGGCTCCCGAAGTGGGGAAAGGCTCCAGCAGCTCTGCTGCCTTCCCCTACTGGAGCCTTTCATTCACACGTGTAGCTACACACCACAGCGTGGACACAGCCTGCTTTTCACTGTGCTGTGTAGCTACACATGCCCTGCAGGTCACCCCCAGAGCTGTGCAGTGTATATGTCGCCAGAGCTAAATCAGGCAGTGCTGTGTATAGACCAGGGTTGACACTCTCCCCACACAGAGAGATACCAACTCTGACTGATGTAACTGCTGGACCATAACAATGGGCACCTACCAGATATTCCTGGCTTTGCTTCTCTCCAGCCTGTTTCCACTCCAGAAGTTCTTCTCTCTCTTGCTTCAGCGTGTTCAGTCGGGTTTGAATTTGATCCTGAGGCAAGAAAAACAATGTTTGGGAGGGTCAGGGGGCTGAGGAGTCTGTCCTCACAGATACATTTATATACATTGTATGTTCCTCTCAGGCTGTCCCACAGACAGTGGTCGTGGCAATGTCACAATTGTCTCTTGAGAGGTGGGAGATTCCGGTTCAAATCCCTTCCCCCTCATCAGGCAGAGGGAGAACTTGAACCAGGGTCTCCCGCATACCAGGTGAGTGCCCTTCCCCCAGACTAACCGTGATGAAGAAGGTCTGCTGCCTCCTCACTGGCCGTTTTATGCGGAGTGACACAAGTGCATAACTCCATCTTGCACAAAACAGCTTAGATGCCTAAGCCGCCTGACTCCAGGAGAGGGGTTCCCAGGTGTGGATCCTAGAGACAGGCCCATTCCGACACCAAACTCTGAGGGGGCGGGGCTTAGGACACACCCCTCTCAGCAGCATCTCCCATTGTAATCCTGTCAATTACAGGCTAGTAAGCCTAAGGGCTTGTTGATAAGTACAGCACTGCAGCTGTACCGATATATCTGCACCGCTGCAGCGCATACGGTGGAGACACTCTATGCCGATGGGAGAGAGCTCTCCCGTCAGCATAATAAACCCACCTCCACGAGTGGCAGAAGCTTAGGGTGGCGGAAGAAGCTCTCCTGCTGACATAGGACTGTGCACATGAACGCTTATGTTACTCAGAGAGGTGAAATATTCACAGCCCTGAATGACCGTAAGTTTTGGCGACATAGGCTGTATTGCAGACAAAGCCTAATTTCAGTACCAGGTAAACTGGTTGAAACTACAGTAAAGAACAAAATTGTCAGACACAAATGAACATGATTTGTTGGGAGAAGAATCAACACAGCTCTTATAAAGGGAAATCATGCCTCACCAATCTATTAGAATTCTGAGGGTGTCAACAAGGATGATCCAATGGATATAGTGTACTTAGACTTTCAGAACGCCTTTAACAAGGTCCCACACTAAAGTCTCTTAAGGAAACTAAACAGTCATGGGATAAACGATAACCTTATCTCATGGATCAGTAACCGGTTAAAATATAGGAAATAAAGGATAGGAATAAATGGCCAGTTTTCACAATGGAGAGAGATCTCTACTGGGACCAGTGCTGTATAACATATTCCTAAATGATCAGGAATAGGGGATAAACAGTGAGGTGGCAAAGTCTGCAGATGATACAGAATTACTCAAGGTAGTTGAGACAAAGCACACTGTGAAAAGTTACAAAGGGATCTCACAAAAATGGGTGACTGGGCAACAAAATTGCAGCTGAATTTCACTGTTGATAAATGCAAAGTAATGCACATTGGCAATCATAATCCCAACTATACATATAAAATGATGTGGTTTAAAGGAGTTCCTACCACTCAAAAGAGAGATTTTGGAGTCATCTATGAAAACATCTGTTCATAAAAGCTAACAGAATTTTAAGAACCATTAGGAAAATGATGGATAATAAGACAGACAATATCATAATGCCATTAGAGAAATCCATGGTGCATCTTGAATACATCATGCAGTTCTATTGGCCCCATCTCAAACAAGATATATTTGAATAGGAAAACATACAGCAAAAGGAATAAAAATAATTAGGGGTATGGAACAGCCTCCATATGAGGAGAGATTAAAAAGACGGAGTGTTCAGCTTGGA